CTCCAGGGGGATGTTCGACGAAAAATAAAACATACCCCAAAAATGGCCCAAAAGGGTCAACAAATACTGAAAAGATAGGCCCCAGACCATTTTGGGATTATTTTTTTGATTATGTTTGGGGTATTTTTGAATTTTTCATCGAAAATCCCCCTGGGGACAGGCCCGACCGAACGTTAGAAAGTTGCCCGGGGCCCCGAGGCCGCGCCCGCCCCCCTCGGGTGACGACCGCTGCGGGAGCGCACGCGCGAGCAACACCCAACACAGCAGCTGCCCTGCCAACACGTGCCTTGGGTCGGGCGCGTCCCCCTACAGGGGTATTTTCGACGAAAAACAAAATGTGCCCCCAAAATACACCCCAAAGGCAAACAGAATTCAAAAAATAGTCCCCAGACTATTTTGGGATTTTAATCATTCTTCTTCTTCTTCTTCTTATTATTATTATTAGTAGTAGTATTATTATTATTATTACATTATGTTATTATTATTATCATCATCATCAATCTTTTTTGAGTATTTTCATTTTTCGGCGAAAATCCCCCTGTAGGGGGACACGCCCGACTTAACACGTGCCCCACGAGACGTCCTATCTCCTGGCGGGCCCGCCGGGCCTTGGGTGGCACACTCTACGAAGCTCCGTCCCCGGGCTAGGCGTGCCACGGTGCATCCCTGTCTTCTCCCTTCCCTCCTGTTGCGGTGCGTGCTTGCTGATGGTCGTTGTCTCGCCGTCGCTGTCAAATCATTGTTGCTTGTTGCTGTCCGTGGTTTGCGCCGTCTTCACCCAGACCCGCACAATTGGCGTTTACCAGACGGCCCTGTGGCGTTCACTAGGCAGCAGCCCCGCGCTTCTCGATCCCTGCCCTGGGCGCGCCATTGCTAAGCGGCTCCGCTAGTCGGGGTGCTTCTGATCGGGGTGGCTTTCCTGCACGCTTACGAGCCGTCCCTCTGCTTCTCCCCTCCGGCCGCCCTGGGTGGATCGGGCCGGACGAAAGGGGGCGGAATTGGCAAAGGGGGGGCTACGACATTTGCCGCATGCAGCTGGTTTCGGCCCCACCGAGGGGCCCCTTCCTCGATGCATAGCCGCCCTCCGGCGCCGGGGGGCGCCGGGAAAATCAGCTATGCGTGAGCTGATTCTCACCCCCCCCTTTGCTATCCCCCCCTTTCGCCCGACCCCCTAAGAGCCTTCCCCCTTCTCCTCCTCTTCTTTTCCTCCCTCCTCTCCTCCTCTTCTCCTCCCCTTCCCTCTTCTCCTCCCTCTTCTCCTTCCCTCTTCTCCTCCCCCTAAGAGCCTCCCCCCTTTGCTATCCCCCTCTATCTTGCCCGACCCGACAGTGGAGCGCAGGGCGCGCCACTCGAAAAGATGGCGGCCTCTGGGGGCGTCTTTTTGGGGCTCCTCTCTCCCCGGGCCTCGGTCGGAAGGGGTGCGCGTGCGGCGCCCCGGCTCGAGGCCGCTTCCGCGATGGCCCAAATGGGAGCGGTGGGCCGTCGGAGGCCTCCGGGCTTCTTCTGGGGCATCGGGGGGGGGGGGCTCCTCGTCGCCAGGGCGCGATGCCACTCTCTGCACGGACGGAATGGGCACGGAAGGAAGGGGCACAATGCCCCACAGCGGATCTGGTTCGTTTGGAACAGGTCTCGCTGTCCACGCCGCCGCGGCCTGTGTCCATTCGAGACAGAAGGCCGCCTGCCCAACAGCGGCCGCTGTTGGTTTGAGACAACAGTTGTTGTTGGGCATTGTACCCGAACCCTCGTCGCCAGGGCGCGATTCCATTCGACGTTTGTCGCCAGGGCGCTCCCCTGGGCGGGCCCCAGGGGGCTGCTGCTGGAGCGGGGGATCCCAGGTGTCTGGCGGCCAGAGGGCATCCCAGGAAGACAGTTGCCGGGTTGGGGGGATGGGGCTGGGAAAAGTGAGGACATCATTGCCCGTAGGCGGTCGAAGGTACTACGCATTGTGTCCGAATGCTCTTGCTCGTACCCTTCATCCTCCCAACCCCTTCCTCCCAACACGATAACTGTTCTCCTCAATAGCGAGATGGCGGGTCTTTGTCGCCCTTTTGGGCCCCGGGGGGCCAGATTTTGGTGGACGGAGGGCGGCATAAAGCAGGCTTCTCAGCACTCATTTCGATCCGATCGATCCGCTTCGATATCGTATCCTTCTGGCCCTGTTCGATTCGATTCCGAGTTTCGTGCGGTCCGATGCGGCCCGATGCTTGCGTGTCGCCGCTGTGCCTCCTGGCGCCGCAGATCAGCTTCGATTCCGGCGCCGTGCCGATGCGATCCGACTCGATGAACGTCCCGGTCCGATCCGATTTCCCGATTCGATGCCGGCCGTCCCTGCCTGTTCGCCGTGCGAGGCGCTTTGTCCCGGGGCGGCCGGGGAGTTTGAGCCCCCCGTGGCGTGGCGCAGTTGCGCAAGCTTTCCCGCCGCGCTGGGGCGGGTGCCCCCGACGGCGGCGAAGTTTCGGTCATCTCGCCGTTCCATTCTCCACCTCCACCCTCCACGTCTGTGCTGCTCCACTCTCCATCCAGCCTCCTCCATCCTCCTTCTGAGCTCCCTTTGCCTTCCGCCCCCCTCTCCTCTCGCTGCAGGCTCCGCGCTGCGTGCCCACTGCTCTCCCTGCCCCCCAGCTCCTCCTCCTCCTCCTCCTCCTCCTCCTCCTCCTCCTGCTCGTCCTCGTCCTCCTCCTCCTCCTCCTCCTCCTCCTCCTCCTCCTCCTCCTCCTCCTCCTCCTCCCTACTCCCTCGTCTTGCGACGGCACGTGTTGGTGCAGCTGCTCCTCTTCCTCCGCTCTTCTTGCCGTCCTCCTCCTGCCCTTACCCTCCAGGGGGCTCCTCCCGTCTTCCACCCCCCCTCTCCCCCATGCCTCTTGCCACCCCCTCCTCCTCCCCCCACCTGCGGCCTGGAGAGCCGGTAGAGGAGGTGAGCGCCTCGGCCGGGCCCGCGCCCTTGCCCCTGCCTCTCCCCCCTCGCCCCTTCCTTCCGGTCCCCTTCCGCCGCCGCGGCTGTGCGACACGCGACAGGCCGCGTGGCGATGGGCTGCGAGCTGCGAGCTCTCTACCTCCCTCGTCCCCGCCTCGCCCCCTCCTCCCCTCCTCCCCCCCAGCTCCTCACGCTCCCCTCCCCTGTCCCCCCTGCCCCCCTCCCCGGGGAGGGCCTTCTGGAGCAGGGAGTGCCCGGCTGCGAGCTCGGCGATCACCCGGCCTGCCCCTCCGAGCCCGCAGGGGCCCTCGGCCCTCCCTGCAGGGCGAAGCGGGGCCGGGCCCAGAGGCCCGGTGGCGGCCGAGCCCGGCGAGGCCGCCTCGGGGCGCGGCGGGGCCGAGCCCTCGGGTGAAAAGGGCGGGCCTCGGCGCCCGGCCCGCACCGGGCCTCTGCGCCCGAGCTCGCCCCGCGCGGGGCTCGATCGTCCGGGCCCGGCCTCCGCCGGCTGCCCTCCCCGGGGAGGGGGCATGGGCACGGAGGAGGAGGAGGAGGAGAGGAGGAGGAGGAGGAGGAGGAGGGAGGAGGAGGAGGAGGAGAGGAGGAGGAGGAGGAGGAGGAGGAGGAGGAGGAGAGAGGAGGAGGAGGAGGAGGGAGGAGGAGGAAGGAGGAGAGGAGGGGGAGGAGGAGAGAGGAGGAGGAGGAGGAGGAGGAGGAGGAGGATCGCCGATCCATCGACGAACGTCGGGGGCGGAAAAGAGGGGGGTGATGACTAGGGGGGGGTGGATATCATGGCTTGGGCCATGATATCTCCCCAGATCTCATGGCGCCTCTTCTTGTTTCATTGCGTCCCTGGCCCCCCCGCTGGGCCGCGCACATGCCGCCAGTCATGTTTTGCACCCCCCCCTCTAAGGACACCCCCCTCTTGGCCGCTCCCGAGCGCGAGGAGGAGGGGAGGAGGAGGGGAGGAGGGGGCGAGGCGGGGGCGAACCCTCGGGCGATAGGGCGGGCTGCTGAGCCGGCCGGCACTGAGCCTCTGCCGGGTCGGCCAGAAGCCTGGCTGCCTCCGCGCGGGTGCGCGGAGGCAGCCAGCCTCTCGCGGCCGGGGCCGCAGGGGGTTTCCTTGCTCCGGGGGCGGCGGCGCGAGAGGAGAGTTGTGTTCGTGGTGTATCTCTCCTGGCGCGTCGCGGTCGTTACGAGGGTCCGCCCACCCCCGGGAACGGTGACGATCATCGTGTGTGCGGGGAGGGCTTGGGCCCCCCCCCACGTGCTAGTGCTCATGCGCGAACTGTGGCGATCGCAGCTCAACCCCGCCCCGACATGCCCCACCCCGCGCAAGCGTTACCGTCGCTCGGGGCCCCAGCACCCCCCCCTACCCTCACCGGGTAATCACCGTTGCTGGATGTCGAAGCGGCGAGCGCCTCGCGCTTGTTGGGCGGCGCGGGGCGGGAGGGAGCGGGTCTTGGAATGCAGCTCCTGGGAGGTTAAATTCAGACAGAATCGGCGCTGCTATATCCCTGGTCGAAAACCGGCCGAAGCTGGTTGAATCCCGCTTAATTCCATTCACTTTGGTTCAGTCCCGCTTCATCCCGTTCAATCTGGCTTCATCCTGGGCTTACGCCAGCCTAGTCCAGATTTTCAGTGCCCCTCAATCGGGCTTGGTATCCCTGGATCGTTCTGATCCTGAGATCTGGCGCTGCAAAGAAAAACTGCAACACCACAGAAAGTCACGACTGGACCCCCGGACCCCACCTTTCTGTGCTACGCTTCGAGCCGCCTCGATCTGTGCGGGCCCCGGCGCCCGGAAGCAGGCGACACCGCCCGGCTCGAAAGAGTCGAGGCGCCATGCAGGATCTCAGGAGGCGGAGGCCCCCCCCAGAAGGTGCCTCCCCACTTACCAGCCTGGAGCATATCCTTATCCCTACGTTCGGCATCGCCTCATCACGATGCCAATCTTAGGGATTCCCTTATCTTTTGAGGGCGGATCCCTAAGATTGTCATCGCCTTTTGGCGTGCCAGTCTTAGGGAGAGGGATGCGTTCGAGGCTGGTAACCCACGGGTTGCCCGTTGCGGCCTCGCTATATCCGAGGCTTCCTGCCCCTGGGCTCCGCGGACCGCAGCGCCCACGTGGCGGAGACGCGGCTCGCGGCGGAGGCGAGGCTCCTCGCCGTCAAGACCCTGGAGCGCCCTCCTCCCTCCTCCCTCCTCCTCCTCCCTCCTCCTCCCTCCTCCCTCCTCCCTCCTCTCTCCTCTCCTCCTCCTCTCCTCCTCCCTCCTCCCTCCTCCTCCTCCTCCCTCCTCCCCTCCTCCCTCCTCCCTTCTCCTCCTCCTCCTCCTCCCTCCTCCCTCCTCCCTCCTCCCTCCTCCTCCTCCTCCTCCTCCTCCTCCTCCTCCTCCTCCTCCTCCGCCTGCAGCGGAAGGGCCGAGCAGAGGGGCGGGGAGGGGGGGGAGGCACCCGTGCGAGCGGAAGAGCGCCTCGGGTGAGCTGGCCCGAAGGCGCCTCGCAGTGCACCAGCTGCTGAGGGCGGAGCCAACACCGAAGCTCGGTATCGTTGTTGACCGATCCCTATCCCCATCCCCATCCCCTTCGAGACCCCCACCAAATTGCCACCCCGGTTGGGGATGCACCTGTCGAAACCCGAAGGGAACTACCTGTATCCCCATCTAGCGGGGTAAATCGGCCAGCGGGGCCCAGGCCACGCCGCTGGGGATGGGGATCGGTTACACGATACTCAAAAGCGCACAGGAAATGGAGAGGGCCCACCCTTACAGGTTCGGAACACACCACATCGTGGAGCTGTGGTGCGGCCTCCCATTGGGCAGGGAGGGGGGGAGGAGCAGGAGGTGATCCCAGGTGCGGTAGTTTTCAGTCGGGCATGTCCTTCGACAGGACGAATATTCAAATATAGTCAAACAATAGTATGGTGACGCTTTTTTGATGATTTGTTCTCTATTTGGGAGTATGTTTAAATATGTTTGATTTGTCGCCCCAAATCTACCTGTAGGAGGACATGCCCGACCTAAAGGTAGGTTCATGCGACGATGGCGCGCAGGCGACGCCGGCGAAGGCTTTCAAGTTTGAACTCCGCACGATGCCGCCACAGCACCTGTCGCAATTCAACCTCGAACGATCGGGGCCGCGATCGGTTCAAGGTTGAACGATCGACGCGGTGTGAAACACCTATGCTCGTGCCGACGCCGCGCGAACCTACCGTATGCTTACGTCGCGAAGAAAGCAGGATTGGAGGTGTTTCTCACTTCTCGGCTTCCGGGGGCCCTCGCCGGGCCCCGGGACAGTGAACAGATCTATTCGGTTATGAGAACTTGCCTTCGGACAAGGGTCGGGATTACCGGGGACCGCGTATTGAAACAATCTGGACATCGAATGTCTGGGGAGGTGATGCGGAGCGGGGGAACAGGAGGAGGAGGAGGAGGAGGAGAGGGAGGAGGAGGAGGAGGAGGAGGAGGAGGAGGAGGAGGAGCAGGAGGAGGAGCAGGGGGAGATGGAATACGAGGGTGGTCGGGAGAGAGGCGCAGGCGCAGACGCAGGGAGGAGGCGGAATAGGAGGATTACTCAGGCAACGTTGCTGCGATCTTGGGTGTCCCGCTGCGCGGCCGCCAGGTTCGCAGCTTTCTGCTAAAACAGGTGTCCCTCGATAGTGCTTCGGTTTCGGCCATGCTGGACGGTTTTTTGGCCGAATGCCCATCATTTCTGGGCGATCCGCCTGTCTGTGCCTCCCATGCTGGTGCAAATGATGATGGTAGCCGCGAGGCTGTTGCTCAAGGCATTGCTGCCCTACTTTCTGCCACGCATGGCGGTTCTTCAATGCCCGCCCTCCAATACACCAAACACTGACTTGCCCCCCTGCGCGGATACGCGATGATCGTCTGCCTTGTGGCGGGCTCGAAGTGATCCTTGCGCGCTGCCTTTCTCGATGTTGGCTCGCACGGCTGGCGCTGTCGCGCCCACCCTGATCTTGACCCCTCCTGGACCGTCGTACTCCCGTCCTGATTTGTTACAGTAGTCTAGGGACGCGTATTCCTGGGACGATGATTCGTGACACTCCAGGGTGTCCCGAAGATTCTTGGCAGGGCCTCTTGGAGAGGGCGAAGCCCAGAAGCACTGCACACGCCAGTGGACGTTCTCGCCAAAAGCACGGCCCCACACACGCCGCCCGCCGCGATTGCTTGTCCACGGCGCGAAGGGGCCCAGGGCCTCCTCCTCCTCCTCCTCCTCCTCCTCCTCCTCTCCTCCTCCTCCTCCCCTCCTCCTCCTCCTCCTCCTCCTCCTCCTCCTCCTCCTCTCTCCTCCTCCTCCTCCCCCCTCCTCCTCCCCCCCTCCTCCTCCTCCTCCTCCTCCTCCTCCTCCTCCTCCTCCTCCTCCTCCTCCTCGGTCCGAAGTCGAGCCCCGGGCCTCCAGCCAGAAGCTCGAGGCAGAGCAGGCCGCGGAGGCGAGAAGCCTCGGGGCCCCGAGCAAGAGGCCCGGAGGGCAGCCCTCCTCGGAGCCTCCCGCCGCGAGGGTGGCCGCGGCGCGCGCGGGGCCGGGGAGGGTGGGCGAGCGGAGCGCCTCGCGCTTGCAGCGGTGGCGAGGCGTCCTGGCCTGCCCGTCCAATCATTCGGAGGTGGATCGACCTCCTGCCCTGACACGTCGATTGAGCCTCCCGCCGCGAGGGGGGCCGCGGCGCGAGCGGGGCCGGGGAGCTGGGCGAGCGGAGCGCCTCGCGCTTGTAGCGGTGGCGAGGCGTCCTGGCCTGCCCGTCCAACAATTCTGAGGTGGATCGACCTCCTGCCCTCCCCCGCACGAGGTCGCGCTGCTGCAGACAGTCGCGCTCAGCAGAGGTCCGGAGCCCGACCTCCCCTTTCCCCCCCCATCCTTTCCGCCAGATGTGTCGAAACGCCGAGTAAGAAAACTCGGAGGTTGATAGACCTCATGCCCTGACACGTCGATTGAGGAACTGGCCGTTTTCGGTTCGCGAGAGGGCGCCGCGGCCGTCGTTTCTGCGGGTCCAGGTCCGTCGTTGTCGGTCCCATGCCGTCTTCACTAAGGGGAGGTTTATTGAAGGGAGGTTTGTGCACCGCCGAATCATGATCTGCACATGGTTCATTCCCAATTCGTCGAAGGTCCTTTGATTTTTTTGTTGGGGGGGGGGGCCAAGATTCTTTCATTTCTACTTGTTCTATCCTGGGCCTCTTCCTGGCCACTAGGGGGCCAGGAACAATCAGAAGCGAGCACACGTAGAAGTGAGCACGATCAGAAATGAACGACGCGGAATGACATCTCTGTGGTTCGCACGAGATGTTCTCGGAGCGTCTCTGGCCGAGAACGTCACATTTGAACACATTGGCCTTATGCTTGAAAGCGTTGGGCCAGGATTTCTCAACCAACTGGCTGGAAGGCTGGCCCAGTGGCCCAGCTTCTTGAGCACGTTCGCGCCTCCGGCGTGAAAGGCAGAAGTTTGCCCAGGGTTGTTCTGAGAATCCTCCAGGAAGCTGGGCCCGATTCCCTAAATGATCGTTTTCTGGATCCGAATGTTGCCGTATTCGAGCATTTTGGGTTCTGAGAGCATCTCGTGGTAGGCCTGTAGGCGTGCCAGGATTGTCGGCCCCTGCTCAGCTCTTGCGGGTGGCAATGGGGGGTGATCTAAGTGGGGGGGTGCAGAACAGGCTCTATAAAGGGACCTTTTTCCTCACCCCTCATTCAGGGCACCCCCCATTAACCCAGATATGACCTCCTGACTTGTTCAATACGGGGTCCCTTGACGTCCCGACCCTTTCCCCCGGCGAGGGCCCCCCGAAGCCACAACTGGCCGAACACATCCCGTTTTTTTGTTTTATTTAGGAACACCCGCCCGAACATCCTGCGTACAGATCCTCGGCACGGCCCCCTCCAGGAGCACCTGGCCCGGGCGAGCGCGGGCAGGGCCACGATCCTCAGCGCGGGGGGCGTGGCCGCGCTGGTGGGCCTGCTCTTCGGCGACCCGCCCGAGGCTCCCGCGGGGGTCGGGCGAGACGGGGGACCTTAGGGGGAGAAGGTGATGGTCTTCTTCGGGGGAGAAGGTGATCTTTTTTTCATTCCTTGTCTTGCCGATCGGCGCGGGCCCTCGCACCCCCTCCCCCCCCCCACGAAGTAGATCTGGGCTGTTTTTGTTCGCGCCTGCTTCGAGCAGGTGGAGCCCCCCCCCCCCCCGCACGAGGTCGCGCTGCTGCAGACAGTCGCGCTCAGCAGAGGTCCGGAGCCCGACCTCCCCTTTCCCCCCCATCCTTTCCGCCAGATGTGTCGAAACGCCGAGTAAGAAAACTCGGAGGTTGATAGACCTCATGCCCTGACACGTCGATTGAGGAACTGGCCGTTTTCGGTTCGCGAGAGGGCGCCGCGGCCGTCGTTTCTGCGGGTCCAGGTCCGTCGTTGTCGGTCCCATGCCGTCTTCACTAAGGGAGGTTTATTAAAGGGAGGTCCTCGTCGCCACCGTTGGATTCGCCTCGAAAACTTCTGGTCAGAACGCGCCCCGGGAGAGGTCTTGGGAGCAGCGTCACCGGTGCCTTTTTGATTTCCCCACTTCGGGGGACCTTGCCTGTCCCCCGAAAGATGCACCTTATTGAATCCGACGTTGGTTTGACGCAGATTCTTCACATTGCGACATGTTCTGTTGTGTCCGACGTGGCTTTGACGTGTATTCGGCGTGGGCTCGACGTGGATTCCGCGCGGATTCGATGCGCTCGACATGGATTCGACGCGGATTCGACGCGGTTAGCGGCGCGATGGAACAGAAGGTCCCTCGAACATGCAACATGAGGGACTGTTGGAAAAGGGGGTGGGTGCGAAATCTGTGGCATGCAGCAGGTTTTGGCCCGCCGCCGGGCGCTTTCCTCATACGTGGGGTGCCTGGGGCTGGGAGGCGTCGGGGAGGCCAGCCGCGTGAGCTGATTCGCAAACCCCTCCCCTCTGCCATCCCCCCCCCCCTTCGCCCGCCCTGGTCTTGTCGGGCCGTTCGCGGGCTCGATGATCCCAGCCGCGTGAGCTGATTCGCAAACCCCTCACCTCTGCCATCCCCCCCCCTTCGCCCGCCCTGGTCTTGTCGGGCCGTTCGCGGGCTCGATGATGCGACTTCTCCTCGCGCTCTTCTGCCCTTTGGGAGTCTTTGGGAGGCTTACCATCCGCCATCGATGATGTGTCTTCTCATGATGCTGCAGGCAGCTTGGGCATTGGGGCTCGCGAACTCCCGCGGGCGTTTCACACTGTGGCTGATGGTGTGGTGGCTAAATGGGCCCCCGATCTCCTGTGCGATCTCCTGGGGCAAGGCGGGCTTCCTGGCCAGCTCTGCCGAGCTCGCGGTCCAGCGGTGTGCCTCCTGGGGTCCCTCCCGGAGGCTTCCCATCGCCGTGGCCGGGATCCTGTCAGAGTTTTGGGGAGGGCGCGCCCCAGGATGGCGGAGGTCGATGTTCGGACCTCCGAAGAAGCAGACCCGTCGCGCAGTAAGAGCATTTTTGTTCGGTGTCCGCCCTTCTGGGGTCTCTCCGGAAGGCTTCTCATGGCCATGGCTGGGATTCCGTCAGAGTTTTCGGGGAGGGCGCGCTCCAGGATGGCGGAGGTCGATGTTCGTACCTCCGAATAAGCAGACCCTTCTCGCAGTGAGCGCCTTCTTGTTCGGTGTCCTGTCAGAGTTTTTGGGAAGGGCGCGCCCCAGGATGGCGGAGGTCAAGCAGACCCGTCGCGCAGTGAGAGCCTTCTTGTTCGGTGTCCTGTCAGAGTTTTTGGGGAGGGCGCGCCCCAGGTTGGCGGAGGTCGATGTTCGGACCTCCGAAGAAGCAGACCCGTCGCGCAGTGAGCGCCTTCTTGTTCGGTGTCCTGTCAGAGTTTTTGGGGAGGGCGCGCCCCAGGATGGCGGAGGTCGATGTTCGGACCTCCGGAGAAGCAGACCCGTCGCGCAGTGAGAGCCTTCTTCTTCGGTGTCCTGTCAGAGTTTTTGGGGAGGGCGCGCCCCAGGATGGCGGAGGTCGATGTTCGGACCTCCGGAGAAACAGACCCGTCGCGCAGTGAGCGCCTCCTTGTTCGGTGTCCTGTCAGAGTTTTTGGGGAGGGCGCGCCCCAGGATGGCGGAGGTCGATGTTCGGACCTCCGGAGAAGCAGACCCGTCGCGCAGTGAGCGCCTCCTTGTTCGGTGTTTCGGGCCCCCTCGCCGAGTTTCGGGGCCGTCAGAAGGCGGGGGCGGCCAAGAGGGGGGGTGATGACGAGGGGGGGGACAGCATGGCGGGAGCCATGGTACGTCGTGGGGTGGATGTCATGACCAGGAGTATCAGCATGAGGATGAGGATGATGCTGCTGATGATGATGCTGATCGTGATGATGATGCTGATCTTGATGCTGATCATGATGATGAGGGTGATGATGACGATGCTGGTGGTGGTGGTGATGAAAATGATGATGCTGCTGATGATGATGATGATGATGCTGTTGGTGATGATGATGACGATGATGATGATGGTGGTGGTGATGATGAAAATGCTGAGGAGGAGGAGCGGAAGGAAGACTGGAGGGGGGTGAGGAGGAGCATGTGTAGTGGAAGCGGGAGGGCGAGGGCGAGAAGGATGTTGATGTGGATGCGGAGGAGGACGACGACGATGACAAAACGCTCGACGACGACGCCGAATGCGCAGGCGGATCAGGAGCAGGTGGATGCGCGAACACTCTTACAGGAGCCACCTTGGCAACACAAACGCTGTTTCTGGATACTGAGTTGTGGCCGTTATCCACAACGAGTGCGCGCGGCGTTGAGTCGTAATCTACATGTTAAAAAAAAACGCCCTCACTCCGTGAACCCCTTGCAAACTTTACAGTGGAATGCGCACAGCACTGGGGCGAAAAACAAATTTTGGAAAAAGGCCCGCCCTGCATTCGTGAAACTGTTGCACAGTTTGAGCTTCAGGACCTTGACTTGTGCAGAAATCTCAAGCGAAACGCCTGGCCCACCCTGCCGACACGTGTCGGGGTGCGACATGAAGGAGTTTTCGTTTAGAAAGGGTAGGGATTGAGGGAGGAGGAGGAGGAGGAGGAGGAGGAGGAGGTGGAGAGGAGGAGGAGGAGGAGGAGGGAGGAGGGAGGAGGGAGGGAGGAGGAGGAGGAGGAGGAGGAGGAGGAGGAGGAGGAGGAGGAGGAGGACGGATGGGGGAGGAGGAGGAGGAGGAGAAGGAGCAGGTGGAGGAGGAGGAGGAGGAGGAGAGTGCGTGAGTGGTGGTGAGGGGAGGAGGAGGATTTTGGAAGGGAGCTAGACCGAAAAGGATTTATAGAGGCACGCGGCCTGCAGAAATCCCCCCGCCTCTCCGCGGCCCGAGGGCAGCATGCAGAGCGCGGCACGGGAGCAGGCGGTGCTGGCGCTGCGCAACGTGGCCGGCAGCGGCCCCACGGGGCGGGAGCGGGTCATCAAGGACCCGGGACGGGGCACCTCAGAGGCGTAATTTTCCCATTATTATTTTTAAGCAATTGTGGGTGGAAGAAAAAACACGATGTCCGCCCAGGCCCGCGTCGGAGGAGCGGAAATGCGAGCGCAATGGCGCGCGCGGTCGCGCGCGACCCGCCGCTGGTAATAACGTGAACGCGCGAGCGTCGCGGCGGCGACGACGGCGACGGCGACGACGGCTGCGACGGACCCAGGACGGGGCACCGCCTCCTTTTCGATTGCACGGGGTGGTTAACCCGGAACGCGGTATCGTTTACCCCATCTCCATCCCCATCCCCATCCCCCTCGAGACCCCCACCAAATGGCCCCCCCCAGTTCGGGGTACACCCCTCGAAATCCTAAGGGGCGACTTATCTCATCCCCATCGAGGGGGGGTGAAGCGGCCAGTGGGGCCCAGGCCACGCCGCGAGGGATGGGGATCGGCTGCACGACACGCAGGAGGAGGAGGAGGAGGAGGAGGAGGAGGAGGGAGGAGGAGGAGGAGGAGGAGGAGGAGGAGGAGGAGGAGGGCCTCCTTTTTTCGATTGCGCGGGGTGGTTGCCAGATTTCCTCTGGGGCTCGGCCGCTTCGCCGAGCGCGTCGCGAGGAGGTGCCCGCCACCGTGCCCTCGGCTCCCCCTCCGCGGCAGGTGCACCGCGGTGCCAGCAGGGGCCCCCCGCGCGCACGTCTTGTTCCACCGGCGGACCCGCGAACCCTCCGCCTCCTCCTCCTCCTTCTCCTCCTCTTCTTCCTCCTCCTCTTCCTCTCCCTCCTCCTCCTCCTCCTCCTTATCCTCCTCCTCCTCCTCCCCTTCTCCTCCTCCTCCTCCTCCTCCTCCTCCTCCTCCTCCTCCTCGGGGCAACCCACGCCCTACACAGATCGACGCAGCGTGTGCCCGAGTGTTCCCCACAGCAGCATGTTCTCGTGAGTGCCAAACGCCGAAGAAGTACTACCTGCATGCATGAAAGAGTTCCTAGCCGCAGTGGCGCACGGCGGGACGCCAAGCATCAAAGCGAAAGGCTGAAGCTTGAGGTTCAGCTTCAGCTTTGGATTCCGCGTGCAAGGCCGAGAGAAAACGTTTTTTTGTGTATTGCAGCTTTGCCGTTCTAGGTTCAGCTTTGGGTTCCGCGTGCGAGGCGAGAGCGGTTTGGGGAGGTCCAGGGAGGGTCTGACGCCCACGGCGCCGACGACCATGACCAGACTTTCAGTTTGTGTTGGCAGTGCAGTTGTTTTTTTGCATGGCAGTTTTCTTGCATTGCAGCTTTGCTGTTTTAGCTTCAGCTTTGGACCCCGTGTGCGAGGCGAGAGCGGTTTATGGAGGTCCAGGGAGGGTCTGAAGCCCACGGCGCCAACGACCATGATCAGTCTTACAAGTTTTTTTGGCAGTGCAGTTATCTTGGCATAGCAGTTTTTTTGCGTTGCAGCTTTGCCGTTCTAGCTTGAGCTTTGGACTCCGCGTGCGAGGAGGGAGGGTCTGAAGCCCACGGCGCCAACGACCATGATCAGAATTACCTTTGTTTAGCATTGCAGTTGTTTTGTGCACTGCAGCTTTTTTGCAATGCAGCTTTGCCGTTCTAGCTTCAGCTTTAGACCCCGCGTGCGAGGCGAGAGCGGTTTGGGGAGGTCCAGGGAGGGTCTGAAGCCCACGGCGCCAACGACCATGATCAGAAGTACAGTTTTTTGTTGATTGCAGTTTTTGTTGCATTGCCTTTTGTTTGTATTGCAGCTTTGCCATTCTAGCTTCAGCTTCGGATTCCGCGTGCGAGACGAGAGCGGTTTGGGGAGGTCCAGGGAGGGTCTGAAGCCCACGGCGCCAACGACCATGATAAGAATGCCAGTTTGTTTTGGCAGTGCAGTTGTTTTTTTGTACTGCTGTTTTTTTTGCATTGCACCTTTGCCGTTCTAGCTCCAGCTTTGGATCCCGCGTGCGAGCCGAGAGCGGTTTGGGGAGGTCCAGGGAGGGTCTGAAGCCCACGGCGCCAACGACCACGATCATACTTACAATTTGTTTAGCATTCCAGTTTTTTAGCATTGCAGTTTTTTTGCATTGCAGCTTTGCCTTTCTAGCTTCAGCTCTGGATTCCGCCTGCGAGGCGAGAGCGGTTTGGGGAGGTCCAGGGAGGGTCTGGAGCCCACGGCGCTAACGATCATGAGCAGAATCTTCATTCGGTTTGCATTGCAGTTTTTTTTGTAATTGTGTTTGTTTTTTTGCATTGCAATGGTTTTTTGCATCGCAGCTTTGCCGTTCTAGCTTCCGCTTTGGATTACGAGTGCGAGGCGTCAGCGGTTTGGGGAGGTCCCAGGAGGGTCTGAAGCCCACGCCCGTGACCAGAATTACACTTTTTGTTGTTTGCATTTCAGTTGTACTCTGCACTGCAGTTTTTTGTTGCATTGCAGCTTTGCCGTTCTAGTTTCAGCGTTGGATTCCGCGTGCGAGGCGAGAGCAGTTTGGGGAGGTTCCTGGAGGGTCTGAAGCCAACGGCGCCAACGACCATGCTCAGAATTATTATAAAGTTCTTAGCCGTTGTAGCGCACGGCGGGACGCCAAGCATCAAAACGAAAGGCTGAAGCATCAGGTTAAGCTTCAACTTTGGATTCCGCGTGCGAGGCGAGAGAACACGTTTTTTTTGAATTGCAGCTTTGCCATTCCAGCTTCAGCTTTGGATTCCGCGTGCGAGGTGAGAGCGGTTTGGGGAGGTCCATGGAGGGTCTGAAGCCCACGGCGCCAAAGACCATGATCAGACTTACACTTTGTTTAGCATTTCAGTTTTTTGGGCATTGCAGTTCTTTTGTGTTGCGAATTGCCATTCTAGCTTCAGCCTTGGATTCCGCGTGCGCGGCGAGAGCGGTTTGGGGAGGTCCAGGGAGGATCTGAAGCCCACGGCGCCAGCGACCATGATCATGATTCCACTTATTTGCATTGTGGTTGCTTTTGCATTTTTTGTTTGTGCATTGCAGCTTTGTCGTTCTAGCTTCAGCTTTGGCTTTCGCGTGCGGGACGATAGCTGTTGGGGAGGTCCAGGGGGGGTCTGAAGCCCACGGCGCCAACGACCATGATCAGAATTACAATTTGTGTTGCATTGCAGTTGTTTTTGCATTGCAGTTGTTTTGCGTTGCATTTTTCTTGCATTGCAGCTTTGCCGGTCTAGCTTCAGCTTCGGATTCCGCGTGCGAGGCGAGAGCGGTTTGGGGAGGTCCAGGGAGGGTCTGAAGCCCACGGCGCCAACAACCATGATCAGACTTACAGTTTGTGTACATTGCAGTTGTTTTGCATTGCAACTTTTTGCATTGAAGCTTTGCCGTCCTAGCTTCAGCTTTGGATTCCGCGTTCGAGGCGAGAACGGTTTGGGGAGGTCCAGGGAGGGTCTGAAGCCCACGGCGCCAACGACCATGATCAGAATTTCAGTTTGTGTTGGCAGTGCAGTTGTTTTGCATTGCAGGTGTTTTGCAATGCAGCTTTGCCGTTCTAGCTTCCGCCTTGGATTCCGCGTGCGAGGCGAGAGCGGTTTGGGGAGGTCCAGGGAGGGTCTGAAGCCCACGGCGCCAACGACCATGATCATAATTACAATTTGTGTTGCATTTCAGTTTTTTGGGCATTGCAGTTTTTTTTGCATTGCAGCTCTGCCGTTCTAGCTTCAGCCTTGGATTCCGCGTGCGCGGCGAGAGCGGTTTGGGGAGGTCCAGGGAGGGTCTGAAGCCCACGGCGCCAACGACCATTATCTGAAGTACAGTTTTTTGGTGATTGCAGTTTTTGTTGCATTGCCTTTTGTTTGTATTGCAGCTTTGCCATTCTAGCTTCAGCTTCGGATTCCGCGTGCGAGGCGAGAGCGGTTTGGGGAGGTCCAGGGAGGATCTGAAGCCCACGGCGCCAACAACCATGATCAGAATTTCAGTTTGTTTTGGCAGTGCTTGTTTTTCGCACTGCAGTTGTTTTTGCATGGCAGCTTTGCCGTTCTAGCTTCAGCTCTGGATTCCGTGTGCGAGGCGAGAGCGGTTTGGGGAGGTCCAGGGAGGGTCTGAAGCCCACGGCGCCAACGACCATGATCAGAAGTACAGTTTTTTGTTGATTGCAGTTTTTGTTGCATTGTTTTTCTGTATTGCAGCTTTGCCATTCTAGCTTCAGCTTTGGATTCCGCGTGCGAGGCGAGAGTGGTTTGGGGAGGTCCAGGGAGGGTTTGAAGCTCCAACGACCATGATCATAATTACAGTTTTTTGGGAAATGCAGTTGTTGGGCATTGCAGTTGTTATGAATTGCAGCTTTGCCGTCGTAGCTTCCTTCAGCTTTAGATTCCGCGCGCGAGGCGAGAGCTGTTTGGGGAGGTCCAGGGAGGCCTTGAAGCCCTCCCTGCAGGGGGGAGAGGGGAGGAGGGTGGACCGATCGGTCGGCGTCTCGGAGCTCTCTTGGACCATCTCGGTGTCCTCTTGAGGCCGTCTTGGAGCTTCTGAGGGTCTGGAAACCGCCCTGGGGAGTTCCGGCATCCTTGGGCGGACCTTGCTTGGATCTTGCCGGGGTTGTATCGTCCGGGGACTTCCAGGGGCCGGCCAGCGCGCGCGAATTAGAAATATCGTTTACCAGTTACCAGCGATTTTTGCACGCGTCTGGCCTGTTTGGCCGGCGAATTCAAGTTTCCGAAGGGATTAGGCCTCTTGGAGGCCTCTCGGGGCGCTCTTGAAGCCATTTTGGAGCCATCTAGGGCCCCTCTTGGGCGACCAACAAAGAAGGCGGTGTCAATTTGTACCCCTCTGTCGGAACCTTCAACATCGCCTCTTGGAGCTCTCTTGGGACGCTCTTGGGGCGGTCTTGGGCGCTCTTGGGGCCGTCTCGGGCCTCTCTTGGACCCCTCTTAGGGATCTCTGGGTCCATCCTGGAGCTATCTGGAGGCTTCAGAAGCCCATCGGAAGCGAAAAGGCGAGAAGGCAAGCAAAAGCTTTGATTTCTATTAGGTTTTGGACGGTGGTTGGCCTCTCCAGGGCGCCTCTGGGAGGCCC